CCCCAAAACCCCAAAACCCCAAAACCCCAGGGTATAACTACCCACTGAAGAGAAACTCTAGAAAGTTAATTTCAGATAATTTTTATTTAATTTGGTACTCCAAAGATGAAATTTTGGAAATATCCCAAAAATTAAAGAATTTGACTTGGAATGGAAAGAGCTGAATTTGGCCATGTTTATCCTGATTCTTCAGAGTCTTTGTAGAAGTAGGAGGGGTCATCTAGATGGTTAATGGAAGGATTACCTTTGATATTGAGTAGATTAGGCACTCTGAAAGATGTCTGAGAAGGTGGAATCATACGAATTTCTGTGTTATTTGTGTTTTTAAGTATCGAAGACATCGCTTTTTGGCATAAAACTTTATGTCTTTGATTATCAACATTTTTACTATAAAATCAGAGCCATGGAATACCTCTTTTTAATCGACTCCTGTTTTGTCATGTCACTCTGGCTTCTCTCTCTTCTATTCTGTTCTAAACAGTTTAAGCTTTTCTTACTTCTAAATGAGCTTCAGATAGCTTTCTTCTTATATCTTCTATTTCTTTTCCTCTTCTTTTCTAAAACTCTTGATGGAAGCTTACTCTGAAATCTTGATTTTGGTCTCAACAGGATTCTTGTCCCTGAACGATACTTCTGTCTTGGCTGTATTTGGCCACAAAATTTGGCTTCCTGAAGATTTTTCTGATCGAAATAGCCTTTCTTCTCTTTCGTGCAGAGAAGGAACCTGATTACTCTGAGCAGGAACAAATACTTCTTGTTGGTCCATTCTAAAACTAACAAAGCTTGGTAAATCCAACGTAGGATGAAGTAGCTATTTAAGATGAAGATCATCAGCAGTGTTAAGTTAAAGAATCCTGAGTGAGCCTCTGTGGTTCTTGAGAATATTATGCCTGAGAAAAGAGTGACTGTGCCCATAGTGATACTCAAGAGATCTAGCTTATTATTCTCTTCCAGCTTGTATGGACTCATGTGCTTTTGGGTGTAGTAGAATATGTTGAGAAGGACTATGCATAAGAGTGATTCACTTACCGACAGAAACCATTATTTTGTAAGTTGGAGAGAAGAGGTTCAGTATTGAATTGACTGATAATATTGCAAACTTTCTGAATAAGTTTACAAATTCCCAGTAAAACACTTCCTTTCTGAATCCTTGGTAAAGCATTAAAAAGTAGCGATGTATTTTAGAGCTTTCTAGATGTTTTCGGCTTTTAATGAGAATTCAAAGAGCAATTATTGGAAGTCCTATTACCCAGATGACTAAAAGAGGCAATGCAATAATCATGATCCACTTTATGTGATCCCATGAATAGCACTTGTATTCCATGTGATAAGTCATTCTAGAATCGTTCTGGTCTATTTCAGTGCATAAGAAGATAGAAAGAGACTTCACTGTAAAGGCAGGATGGAACAAGAAGATGATGCAAATCATTGAGACTATTAGGGCTCTCTTGAAATCGAATAAGTTGGTTCTCTCGGCATTCCTATTCATGCACTCCTTCTTGATATAATGAAGAATGATATGACCCAGCTTGATTGCTCAGAATAAGGCAATAATTGCCCCTATCAAGGCAAATGGGAGGATAATATATAGAGACATCTTGAACAAGCTATTCGAAGGAGCAAACAGCTTTATCTCGTAATCTTCGATGAAGCAATCAAACGAGAAAAATGTCTCGTTTGGAGAAGAAATTCTGTTGAAAAATGAGAACATTCTTGTGAAGTTTTGAGGAATCTTGACATTGAATGATAAGGAAACTGCTATCAAATGAATGTAGTTTGTTAGGATTCTAAGGAGAATTGATATCTCACTTTCTTTCTTCTTTCTAAGATTTATGTAGATCAGAAGTAGTAAGAAGCAAAAGGCTGCTGTGGCCACAATTAAAATTCTTAATACGTTCAAAGCAGGGTTTGGGCATTTACTACATTGAAATTCTGAGAGAGGTTGATATTTTACTCCATCAACAATAGCTCATTGGCTGCATAAAATGCCTTTATATCCCTCTCTTCATTTTACAGGGTATTCTGAATTTTCTAGGTTGTATCCTCCTTCTCAAGCGTATCTGTTTGGTCATTCTACAATGAGAGATGAATTGGTTGTTTTCCTCCAATATCCACTGTCAACATCTATATGAGCTTCTCCCATTCAGGTTGCATAGTCCATTCAAGGATTGCAATTGGTGGAGTTCCATCCCAAGGTGTAAGATCTAAACTGTCATTTATCTCATTGTTTCTGAGCTGTCTCTATCTCTCCTGGTTTGCAATGTCTAAAAGTTAGAGGGAATAACACCTGAATGAAATATCAATGAAGTTATTATATATTCCTTGTAAATTTCCTAACGCTTTATTAATCTTCTTCTTGTTAATACTGATTGTTTTGAGTTTGAATGTATTGTTCCTTAATCCAGCTTCGCCTTTGAAAATTAGGTTATCAAATGTTGCTTTCCCATTCTTTATTACCGCAAAGTCTGTCCCTTTAACCGAGAGTCTGGGATTATCTGATAGAATTTTGAGGTTTACAGAGCTGATGAGGTTCATTACTTGATGATCATAATCCTCTATTTCAAAATGCAGCGGGTTTTCATATTTCAGTCCACTAGGAATATCATTGACATAAATCTGATAGCTATGTGTCTTTGATTCAGCAACCCGAACTGCATAACTAGCAATGTTAGGACCATATTGAGCACTGTTGTTGAAGTTTTTAATATCTTTCATATTGGGTCTGTACAGGTTGTAATATATCCCACCACCCATTTCAGCTGCAACATTGTGTTCTATCACAAGATTTATGAAAGTGTTTGTACAAGGCTTCTCAAAATCACACTCAACACTAATACTAGCTCCAATTTTTGCTTTGTTTGAAAGAAAGTGAGAGTGAAATATTGTTGAATTACTCGCCACTAGTCTGATGGCTCCACCGGAAACTACTTCCTCCTCTCCACACGACTCGAATGTTGAGGAATGAATAAGGTCAATTACTGATTTTATAAAGTAGAGACACTTTAGGTTTTCTTTGAATGAAGTTTTATCAATGCTATAGATTCTCGAGTCTTCAACTTTGAGAATTTGACTACTGATATTCACAAAATGTGTGTTCTTAATCTGATTGATTTCTGACTTCTTTACAGAAATCAGATGAGCTTCTATGATGGTAATGTTTTCAAATGAAGAGTCAAGTATTGCTGTCTGTACAAGCTTGCCATCATTATTAGCATTACTTGCTTTGGATTTGAAAATAGTCATAAGGTTCACTCTCTCCAGTTTTACGCTCTTGATGTGCAGATTCTAGAATTGGTTTGACAAGCTTACCTTCAAATTTAACTGGGAAAAGCCTGAATTAACGAGTCTACAATTTGAATTTGTGTAATTCATAGAGTCAACTTCAAGATATGTGTTGACGAGATGGAACACTTCATGGATGCCATTTTCTCAGAAAATATTATCAAAACTTGTATTAATAATTGAGAAATCTCATTCACTAATTCCTGCGAAATGTGAAGCAAGTGTAATGTCTCCAATTGAAGAATTACTAATCGATATACTCGATCCTGTTCCATGAATTAACTCTGTTTGGTAAACAAGTTCAGAATTAGAGATTGCAAACTTCCCCAACACTATTTTAAAACTACCTGGAGCAGAATCTGAGAGAGTTAAGTAAGAATTATTTGTTAGATAGCTTCTAAAGCTGTCAAAAATATAATCTAAAAGTTATTTCATTGCTTTACTTTGCATTAGTATTTCATGCTCAACTTGTTGCTTTGTGATTCCGTAATTTTCAAAAATCTTTGACTTGTCTATCACACTTAGTAATTGTGATGAGAACAACTCAGCGACTGCTCCTGTCATTGCAACGTTATTATAAATGGTTGCATTATATAGCTTAAACATGCCATCTCCATTGATCTTGATCACTCCTCCTGCGATAGCAAAGTTATTGTAGAATGTTCAGTGTCTTCACACAATGTTGCTCTCTGCTTGTGCTTCAAAGACTGCTCCTTCCACTGATGTGTTGTTGAAGAACGTGCAGTTGGTCAGGACTGCTACAGCTCTCTCTTTACCGGCTGACAAGACAGCTCCTTGGTGGTAGTTACCGATAAAAGAAAAATTTGAGTCAATGATTTCGATGTCTGCACCTCTGTAAATATTGATCAGAGACCTAGAACCACCGTCAATGTTGATAGCTCTGAAGTTGGTGAACTTGATGCGAGTGTAGTTGAAGAAGTCGTTAGATTCGTAAGCTTGCACAGTAACTCCAGCGTTCACAACATCGGCTATTGTGAGGTTGATGATCAAGGCTTGAGACTTCAGTTGCTGTTGAAGATGCATTAGATTAGATGGAAGCTGGAATGTCAGATTTGTGAATGTAACACTGCTCATCTCAATTGAATATGACCCTACTGTTGCCATTTTGTATATCTTGATGAGATCGGTTGAAAATGTGATTAGTGAGTTTCTGTATGTCACATTTGATATTAACAACGACTGAGTTGTGTCAATATATGCGTCAGGTTTAGACACCGATACTACTTGAGTTGTGGATTGTTCCACCAAAATATCTTTGAATATCTGGGCGTTATCTGGAGCAAGCCCTTCGGAGCTGTAATCACTTTTAATCAAGAAGTTCTCACCTCCATCTCTAGAATAAGTTCTTAGAGCATGGATATTAGTGAAGTTGGCTTGTTTGAAGATACCATAGCCAACAAATGCAGTGTCTCCATACAGTTCAAAGTTTTCAATATGAATATTCTCAGCAAGGAATGTACTCTGAGATGATGCTGAAGCATAGAACACTGCTCTTCGATCCAGAATTGTTGAATTAGCTAATACTACGTTTGTAAATGAAACTTTAGAGTCTCCAGTGATAACATTTTGAAGCAAGGGATTAGAATATGCTTTTGTATCCGTCACATTTTTAAGAATAACTCCATCAAACACTATTTTGTTCTCAGCAAGCGCAAATGACAAATTGGGTGTGTCCACTCGCACATTTTCAAAGTGAACATTTTTGAGAGTGATATTTTTGGAAGCAATAAAGTTAATCATCCAGCCGGATGAATTGTAGAACCTGGCCCCGTCAATGTAGAAAGTTGTGTTATAAGCATACCAAGCTATTAGGTGGCCGAATTTGTTGTTTGAATCATTGATCACAGTAAAATTATTGATGTGCACGTTGAAGTTCCCTTGTGGATTAGGGAGTCTTCAGAGGGCGATATCATTGGTCTCACTGAACTTGCTGTGCTTACCTGGCTCATTCCTTGACGTGGTTAAATGGAAGTTGGTGAAATTCCAGGTGTTGTGAGACTGATCTTGACAGTTGAGAGGGTATACATAAAACACAAACTGGATGATCCCGATATCAAATCCTAAGTAAGTATCAAAGTGGCAGTCTTCAAAGTGAGCATTGTTTGCGAGATAGTTTCTTGTCAGAGATTGTTGATTGTGTAAGTATGGAGCTTTGCCCCCAGAGTTTATGGATGTTACATTCTTAAAGTACACTCTGGTTCCCATGTCTGTGTGATCTTCTCCACATCTCAGTCTGGTTAGACTCAGTCTGTACAAGTGCTGGGTTTCAAATACAATATTTTCCATATGCCAGTTAAACACCGTTGTTATGGCTTTGAGAATGGTGCCTTGAGTCCTGAGGTCGCAGTTCACCATTCCGACAACTCTTGTATCAATTCTGTATGGTTCAAAGATTGCATGAGCAGTCCCTGGGTCGTCATACTGAGTAACCACTCTGAAGTTCTTGATCAAAAGTCCAGCATGAAAGGGTTTGAACACAGCATTCTCTATTAATAGCTGGGTCTTGTCATCACTATCGAGTTTAGAATTTTCAAAGATCATTTGGTCGTGTAATAGTGTTTGGCTTACTATAAATGATCACTAACAATTACCAAGTATGTTGAACTTTGTGGAAAAGCCAGGAGCAATGAGCTTGGACTTCTCAATTACTCCTACCATCCTTGCCAGCCTCGGAGCTTGGACCCTATCGCTGTAAGATTCAATCTGCACATGAGTCATGTTCACAAAATAAGTGGGGCTCGATGCAAATACTGTGGATCCTTCCATGACAAACACAGTTACGTTGCGATCTGAATGACTGTGAAAATTCATGATTTCTACAAAGGCCGACTGGATATCTTTGTAAGGATGTTGCTGAGTTCCGAGCTCAACAGGGCTCTGACTGTTAGGATTGATATAATATTCGAAGTCTCTTCAGACTGGCATTGATCTGAGCTGAGGATTATTTTATTAAGATCTGTGACTCTGAATTGCAGTGATTTACACAAGCAAGATCGCTTAGATTGAGTATCTTATCTGATGGACACTGGATTCAATGATCTTGGTATGCTCATAGAGTGAGTCAACTATCTTGTCAATCAATACAGGTGTCAAGAGATGGAGAAAAGAACTTCCCATGCTCTCAATCTTGATACTCTCATAACTGGCCACCTTTGCTTGTGTACCCTTCACTGCACTTAATTCATGAGTCATAGCTATCTCATTGACTGCAAGATGCATGACACTGAAATCAATGACCATGCTCTTCGAAGTTTCCAAGTGGACAATGACAGTCGCATACATAATAGCTTATAATTGCTAAAAGAACCACGACTTTTAGCAAACACTTTGCATCTCTTCAAATTCCCAAACTTGTTGAATAAATAACTAAACCTATAATACCATGTTATCACTACCAACATTCAAATTCTTCAAACTTCCTTAAAATAGACCCTCACCAAACTCTACAAATTCTACACATATTTGATCACAATTAGAATCATATAGGCTTCAGGAAGAATCTGGAAAAGCTGTCAACTCTTTATTAAAGCTATTAAACCAGGATATTCCAAGGGCATAAAATTTGATAGTTATTAAAATTTAGTAATAATTTGTTCAGAGATGAGGAAAGATGGTCAGGTTGTTTACCATGGAAATGGGGTTTTAATGTAGTTAGACTAATTTAGGCTATAGTTTATCGATGTTATGTGAAGTTGAGCTGTTGGTGTAGATGAGATGCAGGTAGTTTGGCAGCTTAGACTCTAGTTTTATCCCCGAATAAGGTGAAGTACAAAGGTTTGGAAATAATCAAATGTTTAGAAATTGAAAGAGTTCACTACAGCTTAAATCAGAGGTAACCTCATTGCTAACATCATTGGCTGCATCAGAGAAATTAGCATCACTTCGAAGAGGGATTATTAACTTATGGAAAGACTAAAGCTAACAAAATTTAGCTTTTATATATTTTTCAATAATCTTGATATTTTTCTATCTGAAATTGCTTTAATAACGTAAGTCAAATTCATCTAACTCTTTGATATCCAGAACGTCTTGAAAAGTCAGGTTTGATCAATTTTCATAAAAATATTTATTCATAAATAATTTAGAGGGAGAAATTTATTTAAGAGTCCATAATGTTATGGCAAAATGTTGTAAAATTATTAGTTTTAGGGTTTGTTATCACTGCGGCCGCTAACCTCCACTTTTCAGGTTATTCGGGTGAAATTATATAGAAATTTAATACACGATTTTTGAGGAAATAGCAACATGAACTTTCGATTTTTTCTACATGTTGTGAAACAATTTTTGTGCAAATTTGTTATTTATGTTAAGCTCTAATGACTAGGGACAGATACTGCAACACAGAAGGAGCAAAATGATGAAAGTATGGCTACATATTTATCTACACCACTTTTGAGGATCCTCTCGATGCGAAAGGCTATCAGAAGTCAAGGCTGAGCGACTACTGCTACTAAGTATCAAGATCTAGTGGAAACTAGATTATAATTGTACTTGGGTGTCCAAAGAGTATTTAAATTTAGGCATATGGTCTTGTTATATTTAATATGGTAATCTCTTGATGGGTTACTAATATCGAGGTTTTGGTATTAAGCTAGCATCAGAAGTTTGAAATTTCGTATTAAATTTTTGAGATGATGGAAAGAATTTAAATTAGAATAATTTAAAGTGAAGTTAGGTCTGGATCGAGGGGGTGTAAATGGGGATGCTTTTTGTATTTGCTTATTTATTAGATGAAATCCTGAAGTGGGAAAAATAAATAGATTAATATAAATATTGGTAATTGAAATGGCTAAGAAATGGAATCCAAAAAGTTATGCTATTTACACCAACCCAAGTTCAGAATTAACTATTGGTAATATTTTATAAAATTTAACTCTATTATGATATCTCAATACTTTAATACAAAATCTCAAAACTTTTGATGCTATTAATATCAAAATTTCTGAATCATTAGATTATTATGGAATTACCGTATTAAATATTCCAAGATCGTAAACTATAAATCTAAATCACTTTTGTTAGTCATACACAATAACATCGGGAAGGTTTATAATATAATAGTGCTTTACCTTTGGTTGTCAACTCCATGTTCTATCAAACTTTAATATAAAGAATTCTATATAATCCTCACAGGCCGGGGTTTTGGGGTTTTGGGGTTTTGGGG